CTATGCATATTGATTTTTTGGATTCTGATTATGATTATTCCGAATAAAGTTTTTTTTTTTTTTTTTTTTTTAAAATAGCCTCACGCAGAGCGTATTGCCACAGACAAAGGTAAGGAAAACGGAATAGTAAAGAAAAATAATTTTACACCGAATGAACATTACATCGATAAAGGATAGGATCAGCAGGATATAAAACTATCTCTAATACAAAGTACTACTTTATGGAAAGGAACAGTAATTAATAAAATATATATCATACAAAATACGATTTGTATACATATGTATGTACATATTTATAATTTTATATTATTTAGAGTAAGAAATAAACATAACTTTTTATATATATTATTATTTAAAGATGAAAGCAGAACAGGAACAGATGTAGGTAACGGGATACTAGTCCGAATAAAGTTGTGTTTTATAATAAATATAGTTTTAGTTTTCCATGCAATGCTAGTCATTTTAAGTATCAATAGTAAAATACCAAATACGTATAGTATTTAATTTCATAGAAATACAGTTACTATAAATGTAAAAAATAATAAAATAAAATCAAGTATCAAGTAAGTTTAATCCACAAAATATATCAAACTTTTAGGGATACCATACAATTTTTTTTTTAATTTGCCGCGCTTTTTCGTTATCTTCTTTCATTAGCGAGACTCTAGTTAAACATATGATATACTTGTTTAATATATTATTCATTATTAAAATAAAGAAGCTATAATAATAGTGGATATTTGCAAGAAGGCATACGCAAGAATGCGATTTGTGCTTCGAGCAACAACGTTCAGTAATATTAAAGCTATCTGAAGCTTGTACAACATTGGTTAGAAGTATGTTAGAGTGTAACTCGTCTGTTTGGGTTCTCATCAAGCTAAATACTGCCTTATGTCGGAGCACATACAGAATAAATTTGCACGATACCTTTATACAGACTATATGACGTCTATACCTACTATCCTTTAATGTACCCAACATTATTTGTCTGAGGGTTGGTGGGGTACAATCATTTGGAAACCAGACAGGACTTACAGTTGGCCTACTATATACTGAAAGTCTTGCGGGGCGTAGTGTCCAACCCAAGTGTACTCCAACTCCGATTCTTTGTACCTATGGGATATGTGAGAACCAGTCTGTTCATAGATCCAAATTAACAAACACGTTGCGCCTACTGAATGCTGTCTTCGACACTATCGACATATTATATGTTCGCAGAGGGAATTCACAGTAGCGATAATGTTATTTGTTCTAATGTTCACCTTTTACATTTTAGTATTTAAATTGTGTTTATCTTTATATCCATATTCATTGTCTAATTAATATTAATCAAAAGTACCTACTACGTAAGCTGTCTGTTATTTTCTAGCTTTAAATTGATAATTAACTTTTATTAACTTTGGGTTTTAAATATATTAAGGAAATTTTCCATGAAGTGCGATATTAATCATCATAAACATGTTTTTATACAATTTTTTATTTTTAGACTGTTTAAGTTCCCGTCTGTATTATGCATATTGTTGTTACGAGACGAAACGCAAAAGATTATGTTTATATAATGATCTATCTTCAAGCTCTAAGCTTAAATGGACTCAGTTGTTTATATACTTGATATAAAGTCAGTGTAAGTGTTGTATTTTAGCCCTTTTTTATATGTTAGAAGGGGCAAACGAGACTACGGAACAGCCATAAAAAGGAGCTGCCTCATGGACACCCCTGTTAAGTACGTTTATGGGTTAAGAGAGGAGTATGCTTTCGTCGTATCTCTTAGGAAAGACCTCCACTGTATGCGGATTCCACAGCTCGCCAGGAAATTCCTGTTCAAGGAGGACTTACAGCCATCGAGATGGTGAGGATAAGGTTTGGAAATATTTTTCCAGGCCCTTATTAAAACGATAACCAACTTAACGGTTTTTTCTTTGAAGTTTTACCTATTGGATAGTACTGATGAGGAGATTCTGACCTCTTTTGAACGGTAAATGTTGGGTTAATAAAATCTACATAGCGTCGCTTAGCTAACAATACCGCACAAGTCATATTTTAGCCAAATGACGTTTTTTACACCATTCGATAGATTACTTTCCCGCGCGTCTAATGAGCTCTCGCTAGAGGTAATATCGTCCAATAAGAGCGCGTTATTCAAAAACTAGTAACACAACACAACTCATTGGCTGCGCTAACACCGCGCAAGTCATCATAACGCCATAGTAATTTGGCCGTGCCACGTCGCACCTTATAAGATCGTTTGTCGTTTTTAAAAAAGCGGATTTTTTGTAACGGACTGGCTCCACTGATGTAGTTTAAAGGTAAGGTAACTTAAATAAAACATAGTATTCATATTTTATCTATTAAAATACGTCATACGATTGCTTTTAAAAACATGAATACTTAAGCGGTGTTGGAATGAACAGTTTCGTTGAGTTAGGCGGTTTTCTCTTTACTTGGTTTCGATGTCTGAATGACTTACAATGTACTTCTGTGTTGAGTTTCTGACTGCTGCGGTATTCATCGATATAATTAGCGATTTTTACGCAGTTTTTTTAATGATTACTATATCGTAATTATATTATATTTTACTTCAGAACACGAAAATGGACAAAATGGTCGATAATGATACCACGCCTGATGACTTTTCAAGAGTTGACGCTCAATGTAAAGTTATTACTTTACGTGACTTACAAAATAGACATAGAGAAAAAATGTTATTAAATACATTGGGTATTAAAGAATGGTTTGTCCGATACTGGTTGATAACGACAGATTGTGCTATGCCACCGCCTTCTGAGATTTCTCGGAATGTAGATTGCTCCAAAAAAAACTCTGATGGTCACGAGCGTCTACAGCAATTTTTAGATAGCCTGCCGAAGATGCCATCGTCTACTGTCGAGCAAACTCATCCAGACGATACCTAGAACCAGTATTTCATACCATGGCACAATTAAACAAAGAATACGTCAGTAAATGCGAATTAGATTCCTTAAAATGTCTTAGTCGTAGGGTTTTTGACAATGTATTCTTAAAACAGAATCTTAGTCTGTTTCATCCCAAAAAAGATCAATGCGATGTATGCTGTGGTCATAAAGTTGGAAATATAAACGATACTGAAATTGCAATACATCGCGATAGGAAAGACAAAGCTAGAAAAGAAAAAGACACTGACAAAAAATTGGCAATAGAAGGAAAAACGTGTCATGTATTTACGCAAGATGTTCAATCAGTAAAATTTGCTCCCTACCTTCAGGCTAGTGCCATATACTACAAGACATTTTATCTGTTCACAATTTTACCATGTACAATTTGTCAACACATGAAGCTTGCTGCTACTGGTTCGATGAATCAAATGGCTCCCTTGAAGCTTCTGTTTTCGCATCGTGCATTGTGGATCAACTACAGATAATTTTAAATAGAAAATTACTACCGGTAATATTGTATTCTGATGGCTGCTGTGCACAAAATCGAAATTCCATCTTAAGCAATGCTCTTCTGCGTTTATCCATCGATAAAAAAGTTAAAATAACTCAAAACATCTTAGAAAAAGGTCACACGCAGATGGAATGCGACTCTGTGCACAGTGCCATCGAATGTAGATTAAAGGGAAAAGAAATTTACCTTCCTTCCCAGTATGCGAATATAACAAAGACAGCTAGAGATAACCCAATGCCATATGAGTCTCGATTATTAGAATTCTCTTTTTTTACCAATTTCAGTAAGGATTTAATTTACAAAACCATTCGTCCGGGCAGAAAATTCGGAGATCCCACTATTACCGATTTAAGGGTATTAAAATATAAACCAGATGGAACTATTTGGTATAACTTTGACGAACCTTTGCAGCCGTTGCCTCAGCGTCCAATGAAAATTACCAATGTAATACCTTTAGAAGAGCTGCCGAAATTATTTTCTGAAAGACTGCCAATTTCCCAAAGAAAATATAAGGATCTCCAAGATTTAAAGGCAGTGATACCTTCGAAGTGCCACGCATATTATCATGAGTTACCTTATAAAAATTAAATATTTTTCATCCATAAACATTTTGTATTATTTTTAGAAGTAGGTTAAGTATTCGAAGTGTTCTTATTGTCTTATATTGTTTGTGTTAAATGTACCATTTTATTAAAGTTTTTGAGAGTTTAGAATTATTAGAAGTTATGGAAAAAATTACCTAAATTACAAAGCAAACCACCTCTGGTTTCCATTGTAACTTAGATAATTTTATTGATCTCAGTAGGTAAGTAGTTGATCTCGTCAAACAGTACAGTCGTAAAAGTCAGTGAGTTCCTATAATATATTATAATATTAGCGAACCCGGCCAGGGTTGTCCTGTTGGAATAAGAAAATAAAACGGCAAAGAAATGTGTTTTTTTTTTTTTGATAAAAAGCTAATTTAGCAATCTTTTTTTATTTTATTGAAGTTAATAATTAGTTTTATAAAACTGTTTTTGAAAAATGTTTTTATTTCGATAGTTTTTCATAGAAAATTTTCTATGAAAGACTTATAGAGCTTAAATATAAAAGGTAAAAACACCGCGTAAGTCTTTATTTTGTTAGAGTAAAACTGCTCAAGTCTTGAAAATGACCTAATAAGACGATATTTCTTTTATTTGTTTTTATAGTTATCATGCTTAACTAAATACAATATATTAAAATTTTTATCATGCATGTATTGTACAAAATGTTAAAGTAATACAGTTTTTTGTCTCTCCTGAAAACTAAGCAAATCTGACTTATGCGGTATTGTTAGCTAAGCGACGATAGGTAATTTATACATTTACACTAAGAGAGAAATACCAATTTATATAGTGTCTTTAATAATTAACATACACTTGTGATTAAACTACTCTACGCTATTACAAATTCTTTGTTTATATAAATCAAAATCTAAAAACCAATTAGGACAAACTGTAACTGATATTTTTGCTACATTTAATTCGCTTTTATTTAAGTACCTTTTAAATATTAGAGCAGTTACTTATAATTTCACACAGATAATAAAGACAGTCCTAAGTTATACACTGGTGAAGGTGCATTCCAAATCGAAACTTGGTCTTCGCTGAAAATATTGTCTGCCTCTGAAAAAAGTATATTAACAGTTATAAATAATAAAATCATTGCCTGTTAAATAGGTTGCTTTTTGTATTTATTTTTTTCTCGTGTGTGCGTAGACTGTAGTTTATATATTTGGCATATATTGCAGTGATAATTGTAAATACTTCTTACATCATTTTAATTAAAGGTAGTGATTCAATTAATAAAGAATGAACCTGCAATTTTTCATTTCCGGATAATGGAAGGTTGTTCGTTTAGGTCACAGACCACACTTATAAACAATAATAAAAAATCCTTTACATTTATTCCTTCGAGTTCTTAAGTCAGGACGAATTTACTCCTCGCCACTTGAAGTAATTTATTTAAAGAAGACTTTCAGTTTTACCAATCATTGCCCTTCCACAATATACTCAATACAATTCATTTTATTTAAAGGGAAATCCACATTCACGCTACAACGCAAGAAAGATGTAAGTTCTGTATCTTGATTAGCCATTATCCAGCAGGCGATAATTTTTTATGCTGTAATTTGTTTAGACACGGCCATGAAAAAGTGTGAATTGAATATAGAAAAATCAAAAAGTGGACTACTCGGGGTTTAAAACACAAATTGAGTTGAAATAAACCTACACGTTAAACGCTCGCTTTCGTTATAGTTAATTTATTAAGGACGCTATTAATTAAATATATAAAATAGCTCCATGTGCGATGTTTGTCTGAATGTAATTTGTGAATGGTGTAAAAAAATGTAGATAAACCAAAATATATTACCCATTATTCCTTTACTTGCATAGTAGCCTCCATCAGTGTGCTCCTAAAATAAAATATAATATTAATGTTTCGTGTTACTAATCGCAGGTTAGTATCAGGTAGTAATAGGAAGTGCAAGTATTTTGGAATTTAATCGAGCGCATCAGAATAAAAAGGCGTGTCGTGACAACAACCTAAACTTATATTTAACAATCTTTTGTTTTACTTTTGGAAATAATTAGTGTTAATTATTAGTTTCATCATTGGAATGGCGATTTACAGAGTACGGGCACTGTGGTTGATTTAGACATATCTTGCAATCGTTTTACCATACAGGTTATATATTGCGCATATATTCTTATTTATCTAATATATAAAATTCTCGTGTCACAGTTTTCGTTGCCATACTCCTCCGAAACGGCTTGACCGATTTTGATGAAATTTTTTGTGCTTATCCGGTATCTATGAGAATCGGCCAACATCTATTTTTCATCCCCCTAAATGTTAGGGGTAGTCCACCCCTAAAATTTATTTTTTAATTTTTTAGACAAAATTTTTTATTTTTATTTTTTTATGATACAGTATTAAAAAATACATACAACCCCTTACTTTCACCCCTCTACGATCAACCCCTATTTTTTTATTATAAATGATATGGCAAAACGACGTTTGCCCGGTCAGCTAGTATAAAATAAATGTTGCACTTACAAATAGCATACTCGTATCTGGCCCACCAAAGTTTAGATATTTATCTGCCAACCCAGGGCATTCTTTTAACATCTCCTGTTTCGCTAAGCATATTGTGACATCTTGACTAGCATTAATCTGCGCTACTATCACTAGGAATACTAACACCAAGAAGCACATTTTGAAATCTGAAACAAATAAGATAATCTCACGTACTAGACAGCGGGTCTTGTGGTAAAGTCACGTAAGCCCCGGGTAACGATAACAACTTTAATTTTGAGTTTTTTATCCAATTTCAATTAAATTATCCTTATCTACACATGTAGATGTCGAACCTTTGGGGTCGTACGATGAAAACTGTAAACATTATTTTCCGCTATTGGGATGAATTACCGGCGTTGGACCTTGAATAGGATTCCTCACTGCCTACGTGCCCAGAATAAAGATTGAGTGAGCAAAATTGAGGTTTTAAGGTAGCAGCTAGTTTTCACAAGGGAGCGTTCAAGTTTTACGTAACGCAATTTTTGGAGATTATTGACCCCCCCATGTAACTCGCCGTAACGTTTTTCAGTACCCAAGTACAGTACAGCCCTACGATTCTGTAACTCACTTTTCGAACTCACACAGCAGTTTTCGCATCGGCGGTCGCTCTCAAACCAGTCGTGAAGCAGTCATTTTATGATTTGGCATTCTGAAAAGGTGGGAGCTTGTAGTTTATTGTTTATCAGAATGCCAAATCATAAAATGACTGCTTCACGACTGATTTGAGAGCGACCGCCGATGCGAAAACCGCTGTGTGAGTTCGAAAAGTGAGTTACAGAATCGCTGGGCTGTACCCAAGTATAGTAAAACGTTTCGTGACTACCTAGTGACTCTTTAGTTACTATTATGTGGTGTAAGTCGAAAAAAATATTAACAATAACGCGTAATTTAATCCCCGCCCCGCATCGTAACGTTTTACAAAAGGCCTCCCCCCCACCTTCCCAAAATACGTTACGTAATACTTGAACGCTCCCCAAGTGAAAGTTTAGAGCTTCGACTCTTTCATAGATAAAAATCCGATCCTGAGCTGAGGGTTAGAAGGTCAAGGCGTAGAAAGTAGCTAAACATTGCCCTAAACACCAGGAAAACTTTTTATTTATAGATAAGATTAGTTATTTTGTAAAATACGCTTTTAAGATGAATAATCAAATGAAAAGTTAATAAATGGTGGTTAAAACGTATTAAAATAATCAGACCTATTAAATGTCTTAGCACTCTTTTCACTGCACCGTTAATACAATTTGACACAATGAGTTATTAATATTTCTAGACACAAGAAGAAAAGAAGCTCTACAACCTTTTACTCTTCACATTTCTGTAATTGTTTCGTCATCATTTGATTTTTCTACCAATATTTTGGGTTGCCAATTTCCTCACGATGTTTTCGTTTACTATACGACCGTTAAATTAGGTTGTAGACAGAAATTCAATTGGTAGCAAGTTAATTCCCTTTTTTTTAATATGGAGACAATGCGCTTCCGCAGGCCCGCGCCATGGATGACGCAAGGACTGTGGGCTGTAGACCCTACACTCAAAGACCTCTGCTATTCAGACTTATCCACTAAAAACACCTCAAGCCTCCACACGTCACGTAAGACGCTCTCGGGGTTCGCCAAGGCATTCAACAAGAACGCTAATACCACTAGGCGCACATTAAAAAGATACAGTATTTTTTAGATACAATAACACTGATTTATATGAATCTTACCTTTCACGTGTACTAAGAGAACTAAGACAATAATGATTAGGTTTCAGAAATGATTGATATTTATATGACATCTTTATGATTATAATGAGCACTGGAGTGTAAAATATAACGATAATGTTTATAATTATGATTACTATATCTTTTAATTCCTGTATGGAATTTCATATTATATTTTAATTTAAATTTATTTTTCATTTAATTATGTTAATTGCAATTAGGGAAATGAAATTTTCTATTTTCAAATGAAGTAAATGTTCTGGGGACATCAGTAATGTAAGTTCTTATATTATTATTTAATAGATAGATTACACAAGTGAACTCTTCTTGGCAAATAATTTGGCAAAAAACCTAACTATTTTAAGTTATATAATTAAATGAAATATATCTGCGTGGTCAGTTTTACTAGTTATAACGCGTTAATTTGACTACTAACAGGCACACTCATTTAAATATACTAGATAAATGGCTATATGTTTAATAAGAGAAACTAAACGACTAATCAGTAACTGAAAAGATCATTCATCCATCTTTAAATCCTGAAATCACGGTCATTAAGTTCTGAAAAGATTTTTGTCTAAGATTTAAATTTTTTTTTAACTTTGACCTTTTTAACTGTACATGGGTATTTGGTACTTAGTCAAACACTTATCTGCTGAGTTGCCATTTCCAGTATTTCATTGTAGAATCTCTCAAAATTCTCATTTTCACTCTGCCTTGCGATTATGTAACTCACTTTTCGAACTCTCACAGCGGTTTCCGCAGCGGCGGTCGCGATCAATCAATCGCTTAATCAGTCGTAAAGCAGTCATTTTACGATTTGGCATTCTGAAAAACACTAAACTACAAACTCCCTCCGCTTGTCAAGACGTAATTTGAAATTGCTTAACCGAATATCATGAGATTCCAAAAATGACGTGAGTGACGAAGGGAGCCTTGTTAGTGCGAGGTGCACTCACGGATTAACAGAATCGCACGGCTGTACTCTTTAAACTTTACCTGTATATAAATTTGCGATAATACAGTGTGACAAAAGTATTTCTTAGGTCATTTCTTCTACTCGTCAAGCGCTAAAAGATTCCTATAGAATTATCTAACCTCATTAATCCGACTAAATAACAACCTTCCAGACAAATTTCCTCTTTGTACATAAAGCAACTTGAGATCTTTCGCTTTTATACATAGGTGGTTATTGAGTTATTTATTATACGTTATTTTTTAATATTAACTTATTTAAAAGGTTAAAAGAAGTTGATATTGGTACTTTTTGAAGTGAAACTTCTTTAGGCGCATGAGAGTAAATTTTATACGGATGAAAAGCAATAATAATAATAATATTAGCGTCACGAAGACGTGCCGCGTTTTTGTCGAAGAAAAGGGAATGAGCGATTGAGAAAGAGACAAAGAGTGAAATAGAGCGAACGTCGCATCACGCATAGTGGCATTGAGCCAGAGGTGGGAGAGAGCAATAGGGAGAAAGATTGACAGAGAGAGTAAGGGAGATCGAGAAAAATACACGCTATTGGTTGATGTATTCGTTATGTAGTTACATATTAGAACTTTAGATGGCAATTCTACTCTACGTTATGCGACAGAATTTTTATTAATTTATATTATCATTACCACGTATACAGTGTGTAAACAGTGTGAATATAGATATACAAATACATGGAGTGATCATATACTGGTACATGACCATCTATTGGGGATTTTACCTTAGTAATAATTAATTTTCAAAGAAGTTTCACTTCTGACATGTTTCCTTTGTACGTACGCACTTTTTTATGTTTAATTTGCCTATGAACCGATGACTACAAAACTTGTAGTCATTTAATGATGGAAAGAACCAGACAATTAGCTTGGAGTCAAGAATGCCGCTAAAACCATCAAGAAAATAATATACTTCTACATTGTTTCTCATTATCTGTAAAGATTATGCATGTCTATCTACATTAAACATATACATTTACATTTTAACTCCATGAAAACTTTGTGGTACCTATCGTAAATTTAAAAGTTTCACAAAAAAATATTATGCAACATTGGAACTCTTTCCCGTTTTTTGATATACGAGGTGAAAATGGCATACCCCATAGATTACGGGGATAATATGTCGGACTCCACTCACTTCAGAACCCTGTACTACTGTGCTGAGTGAATGAAATCCACTAACACCATCTGGGTTCTCTGCACTGCTGCGCTCAGAGGCTCTCTGAGCTCTCTCTGAGGAAAATTGACCTCTCGCCCTGTTCTGCATTATTATAATATTCCTTCGAAATTTACCTGCATCTGCACCTTCAAATAATTAAACCTAAAAAGATATATTTTTAGAAAGACGTCTTGGGTAACATTTTTTTCCGTGGTGAAAGGTTTTGGTAGTTTGTTTTTAATGTGTTGTTCATTTGTTATAGATATTGACTATTATGTTAAATACAGTTTTAAACAAAATTTGCATAAACAATTAAATACTAGCTGTGCCCGGCGGTTTCACCTTCCTTAATGTGGTCATTGCTTGGTGTTATAATATTCACTTCCTGAGATCGCTCTCAAGATAGCGCGTTCAACATAACTGAGTAAACCTCTTACAAGGAAATAATAATTTTTCAACAACATTTTTTCATTAATACTTCGCTCATATTGATCGTAAATTAGTCAAAATAAAAATTCTTTCTGCTTTATAATATAAGTGTAGTAGATTTACTCTTTCACTTTACAATCTGTTTGTATTGTACATAATAGAAATAGACAGAAAGAGTCGAAAGAGAGCTTTCGCGTTGAGGTTGGGGTGGCGGGGCAGTAGCACTGTTTCAAAGAAACGGCGTGAAGTGGTGCAATAGGTTCATCTCAATGTTTTCGCGTTTCGTGCTGTGAATTAGACTTCAGGGGAGTGATACTTCCTACCTCTCCTATCCGGAGTACAAATTGGAACATTACTTTGTGCCCCGTGTATCGTACTGTATCTCACTAAGAATTTGGGCGTACATTAGGCAAACTAGCTAGACAATCATCAAAAGTTAAGCAATACAGACACGAAAAATGCTCTCGAGTGCTTTACCGGCCTATAAGAATTTATTTTTTTTTCTTGAAGGATGGTTGAGGTTATACATAAATAGAAACCTTGCTGGTTTCACAACGACTAAAATGCTCCATGTGAAACTCTTCATCCGTTTTTAACCGATTACAAAAAGGAAGATGATGCTGCCTACTGCTGTATAATTACAAATTACAATTGATATTTGCCTATTCACATCAAGCTACAATTGCCAACTGAAAAGGACATTTTTGTCAACTGTCATGTCGAGATCTTATTTCAAATAGTCTTTACAAAAAAAATGTATTTATATTTTGCCCTCTTATATTCTTTTAATTTTAAGTACGTCTTAAAGAACATAAGAAAATGATGCCTTAATGATAAACTTATCGCACCTTTATTTCGAAACCGTTACTAAACGAAACTTTTTCTAAATATAGTTAGTTATCAATGCCATTTTGTTTAAATCGTCAAAATCTACAGAACGAATTTGACATGTCTATTTAATATCCCAGTATTTTGGCGCTAAATGTAAACGTTACTTAACTGAAATTTAAAACATTAACAATGTTAAAGTTAACGAAACCAGTTGTCACCTAGCAGTTACGAAATCGACTTAAAAGTTTATAAAAAAAATATAACTATTGGTTACTACGTCAGATTTTTAACATTAATGTAAATTATTTACTTATCTTAATATATATATTTCTTGTGTGCGTGTGTATGTGACTGAACTCCTCCTAAACGACTGGACCGATTTTGATGAAATTTTTTGTGTGTGTTCAAGGGGATCTGGGAATGGTTTAGATTCACAAATCAGCCCGGCAGATGGCACTGCAGTCGGTACTTTCATACTTTGCTTAATATCCTAATCGCTTTAAATATCATGCAGGACAACGTCTGTGGGGTCCACTAGTGTATACGTATATTTGATAATCTTTTGGTCGACCTTTGAGGTCAATTTTGTTTAATTGACCTATACCTATTGACCTATGCATAAAATACCTTTAAAATAAATTATTATAATATATTATAGCAAGAATTCGAGTTTAAATATAGTAACATTGTTTTTAAACAAACTACATAATTGAAAAATTCATTATTGCAAAAGTGTTAAGTACTATAAAATTTAAAGTTACTGAAAAAAGTAATCATAGAAAATATTAAATTACATGACTGTACACCTTAAAAAGTAGCCGAGCATTTAACAAATAATCTAAAAAATATCTCTTATAACTTACTCACTTTTTTTATAAAGAGATAAATAATGATGCAAAAATCGTAAATTTTTGCTCCTTTAAAATTTAGTTCTTTTGTTTAATAACGGTTTCAAAATCAAGTGCGTTATGTATTATTAGCTACAAATAGTTATTTCGTCTGTCCTTTGACATTGGCCTCCTCAACTGTTTTCCATCTCGCTCTTCGAAATACCATTCTCCATCCCTTGTTGAAGGTAAAAAAACAAGAATTTGCATATTACTTTTAAAAACGGATTAAACAATTTATTTATTCACACTGCACATCACTTTTTAATTGTTTATTGTCTATTCTGCCATTGGAACAATTTATAAACAAACCCGCGATCTTTAATACAATATTTGACAAAAACTAGAGACATGACAAAAGCAATTAGTTTTGAGCTAGGTAATTAATGAGTTAATTATAAAAAACAATATATAAAGCGTTGTTCTTTGTCAAAGAATACATTATAATATTGTATACTTGGAAAGTAATTTACCAAAAATGCGATTTTTAATTATATTATTTGTCGTAGGGTCGTATGGAGTCTTGGGAGATATTCCTACGAGTTTCAAAAGGGATTTATTGCCTATAGATACCAAGCCATGAACCTGTATCTCTTCATACCAGAAAGCCAAGTTAAAAATATCTGCACCAATGGCCTTTAAAAAGTATGGGATTTCGCCAAAATACTTGCCCGTTCCGCCTAAAGATAAGCTTAATGTAAGGCATTCATGTATTTTTTTTAATGTTCTGCCTGTCCCGATTTCGCAAAGCTGAATATAAAAAAATATTAGTGTTGAGTATTGAGAATGACCTATTTTTAACAAGGATAATGTAGCATTCCAGTGGTAAAACATTTTTTGATATCGATTCTGTAGTTTTTAAATTTATTCGTTAAAACATACTAAAATAAAAATAACTTTTCTTGGGTCATAAGAAGATATTTAATTTGATTTTTTTATGTAATAATTATATATTTTTAATGTACGATTATTGCATTCTTATTTATTTTTTGATTTATCACATCCGGACCACCCCTTTCACTACGACATTTTGTATTTGAAACATAAATTGTTTTTTATATAGGTATTAATAATCATGATTAAGATAGATTTTATTATAATGGTGTATTAATTATTGCAGGGTGGTTTTGTGACAGCATCTGTAGAGTTGGGAAATTACATTGACCCAATTAGAACTATTGACCCAGATAATGTTAGTTATCCAAAAGGAAAGAATTGTGTAAAATATGCACTCTAATAATGATAGGTCAGTAGAGATCCTACTCCTACTTATACTATCATTATAACGTGCTAAGATCACGGTCCTCCTTAAAATTGTGAACTCTAAATCTTTTTGTAATAGAAAATGGTTAATAAGAAATAACTATATTGAATTGTAGTGTTAAGGTTTAAGAATAACTTTATTTCTCATAAGAATTGCATACATAATTCACTTACTGAGAAACAATATTTAAAACTAAGATTAAAAATTTGAAATTAGATAACTTCTAAAAGCCTATAATAAATGATTAGTATCTACGCTAGAGATACAGCCTTATATCGATTCAACCAGAAAATAATTCTTAGCTCAAAATAAACTGTTCAAAATCAGACAAGTCAGAAACAGCACACGAGAAAAGGTTCTGTTTGCATGCACTCATTAAGATAATTGCGTGTTTGTTTCACAGATTTCGACAGACATCAGGGGCCTGCACCGAACGTCCACCTCATCGCTATTTATGTGAATGTACCAAATAGCAAGAATTTAATGGTTGGTGGTGAGGAAGCTGTGCCTTTCATCTCACCCGTCCCAAACTTAGGAACCGGTATTCACAGAATCTCAGGCATCTTGTATGAGCAGAACGACCACATAGACCCTGACCAAATTGAATTTTTAAAGTGAGTATAACTACGTATAATTGTAGATAGTGAATTTGGTTAGATACTTTTTGTGTTTGCTGCACAAATTTCGTTTTTCTAATCCTAGGTCTGAAAGGATATTACAGGAGATGTGTTAATACTATTTATATTATAACTAGCAGACCAGCCAAGCGTTGCTGTGGCTAAGGTTTTTGTTATATCACATAATGGTAAACTATTCAAAGGAAACGGTAGGAGAACACCAGTCATGGAGACCACCATGCTTTTTTGGTGGTTATGCCATTAAATTGTAGCTTATGTGAAACGTTGGTACTTCCAACACAGCGCCACCTGTTAGACCTACAACGCACTAGCGGCTGGCCGCAATGCGGTGTGCCGCTGCGGCTGGCTGCACATCGATTATTACATGAAACCGCACGATAACAACGCACTGACTTGCGGACAACCGTCAACCGCTCCGGTTGATCTGGAGCTGCGGCGAGCCGCACCGGTTGAATGATGCGGCGCGCCGCATCCCCTCCACGCACTCGGCGCTGTTAGCCGCAAATACCACGTCCTACCCGCCTCAGTCATCGCTTGTACCTTGCGCTAGACACTACGAGAGTTTTTTGACGATATTTTCTACGATGATATAAATAAATAACTGCCGCAACTTCTTCAACGTCCATCATGTGCAATATTTCAAGAAACACTGACGAGTGACGATTGCGGCAGACCGCAATAGAGACGGTTAGCCGGAATACGGCCTGCCGCAGCGGCACACCGCATCGCGGCCAGCCGCTTGTGCGTTGTAGGTCTTAGAATTGTGACTATCAAATAATAAACTAATATTTTGCAATAAAATAATATTACGGGTATAAATTGAGATGTAAGCTAGATCTTTTAAGTTAGATCAAACCGCACACGATGTGCAAATTTGATTGAAATCGGTTCGGTTTAGGAGTCCATAGCGGACAAACAACGTGACACGTAATTTATATATATTAAGACTAGCAGTTTTAATAGTATTCTTGATAAAATGTAAGAAAGACGCTTTGAACATTTATTACTTTTAATAAGATACTCGCGTAGTTTAGTTATATTATCGTTTTAATACTAATAATGATTTGGGATACATACATTGTTATACTGTTTCTTCATAGATTGACAAAAAGCCGTGTTCTACAACTGGCAGAATTCCTAACAGAACAGAAACAGAAAGACCTACAACCTGAAACCTGAGCCTGTGGCGGGGACTTTCTACACCACTGAACTCAAAAGATGCGGAAATTTTAAACACTAATACTATATAATTTACAATAAGTATATGTTCTTGAAAATAAACATATGTATTGCTATTGAATTCAACAGATTTTTATTATGACCACGAAATAAATTATAATTTTATCTTTAAAATAATGGCTCAGCACAAGAAGCCTTGCATGAGGTTTATTAAAAGAATCCAGTTGACATGCTGGTGACTTTGGGTTCCTAAATTAAGTCGATGTCATGATCTGCGACGCAGTTTAGGGTAAGACTTCCAAACCACGATTGTTAGAAGACGAAGAACATTTTTTCAACCGTTCTAAAAGGCGGAAGGTTGCAGGAAGCCATTACTCTATAAGAGGTCCTTAAAAAATATAGTTCGTATATGTAGGTATGATCGTATTTCGTAAATAGTGTTATTTCTTTATAATTAATTATTTTTATAATTAAAATTGAATTTTAATTATTATTATAAAGCGTCACATTGTGAGCAGGTGATGTTATTTATATAGTTTTTTAAGGAAATATCAAAAAGGTGAGTCGACATCACAGGAGACCGAAGAGCTGGCGGCCACGTCGGACAAAGATTTAGTCTAGCTATTGAAAGGGGGAACGCTGCCTCCTGGACTCCTTTTAATAGTATTTTTTAGTTATATTATTTTAAGGTTAGTTGTTTTTTTGTTATTTACTATATGAATTATTGTTAAATGTGTGAAATTAAATTATTCTTAGCTTATTAAATAACGTTATGATATGATTTATATCCCCGTTTATGGATAATTAATATCAAGAAGCACGTAGATAGATTGCGTCTTCTTTGTTTTGATGCACCAAAATGTGGTTAATATAACTCGATACGCCACATAAGCCTTATTATTAAGGTCTTTAAAATATGATAGTTCCAATCAATCAGATACTGCGTCCATTTCATTCCTTCTAAAGGTCTAGTATCAACGCCTTTACGAGAAACCCAAGACAATTAATGTTTTACCAAGAAAAGAACCCATATCATGGTAATTTGACTTACATTCCGTGTGTTTATTGCCAGTTCTTCTCTTCCGTTCTACGCCCTTGATTTGAGAACTGGCAGTAAATGTAAAATTAGAAGCATTTAATGTATATTCCTTTTTTGACGTTCATAAGTGCCTCCAAGTTTAGTATCTAATGCATCCAATCTATAAGTTGTTCCACTAGGAATTGAGTTTTATTTAAAATTTAGTCTCGAAGTATAAAGGTTGGTTAAAATTCCTAGTTAAGTATTAAAACTAAAACTATTGTTTCAGAGTGCTTTTATGACAGCAAATGTGGAGTTAGGAAATTTCATTGATCCACTCAGAACTATTGACATGAAGTATATTTCGTATCCACTTGAAAAGAGTGATGTCAAATATACGTGATTCCTCGTTGGTAATAAAACATTAAACTTTTGTTTTAATGTATTTTGATCATAACATACTGTGGAGTAAAAGATATTAAAACAAACATTTTAAATAAACTATTAAAACGTTCTTACATTTACAATTTCTGTATTACAAATAGATAGGAGTAATGGACTTCAGTTTTTAACAGAATCGCATCAAAGTAAGTACGGAATACAATAAGTAATATGTTCTATACTTTACAGATTTTGATGGAAAACAAGGCCCTCCTCCGAACGCACACCTTATAGGCCTGTACGTAAATGTACCAAACAGCGAGAACTTATTGATTGGGGGTGACATAGCTGTAGCTTTATTCCACCTATGCCTAATTTAGGTACTGGTTTTCACAGAATAGCAGCACTCTTGTCTGAGCAGAACCACCACATTGACCCTGTAGATAAGGAATTAATGAAGTATGTCATTGGTTTATAATTATTTTTTATATAATGTTTTTGTATTAACTCGGTATTTGACTTTTTTTTATAGAACAGGGGCAAACGGGCAGGAGGCTCATCTGATGTTAAGTGATACCGCCGCCCATGGACACTCTCAATGCCAGAGGGCGTTGCCGGCCTTCTAAGAATTGGTACGCTCTTTTCTTGAAGGACCCTAAGTCGAATTGATTCGGAAATACAGTGGGCAGCTGGTTCCACATAGTGGTGGTGCACGGCAAAAACTGCCTTAAAAAATACTTAGTTCTGGAACGACGTCGAAGTTTCGTATTTCGTATTCTGCCTCGACGTCCGGTGAGCTAGTCGTCATCGCTATATTATTTTAATTATCAACACTTATTTAAATACGAAATCCTTATATCCATATCATTAATTCTTATAGCGTAGTATAAAAACCATTCGGAATAACAAGGTAAAGTCATTAAATTCCTTAATGTGAAAGTTTTTACGTATCCGTCTAAAATGTGGTAAAATAACTTCCGTCAACACAATTTTCCTAAATAACGATAAAATTCAGATTAGTCCACTGTTTTCCAACGTGGGGCCACATCCCTCAGGGGGACAGTTTGATTGTTAAGAGGGGCAATTCGAAAATGGACTCGACATTTTTCATTGTTCTTTTTTTTTTTTATTTTTGATCCATCTGCAATCAGCCTCTTGGCTTTTATCAGATTTTATGAGAAATGATGGCAATTAGGGAATCGCAACGCAACGCAAATCCAATTTTTTTTTATTCCCTCCGTAATTCGTAAACTGTCAGACTGCGGCAAGTTTCGCCCTACATTGTTTTGAAAATTTATTTACTGTGTTTCATTAACAATTTCCTAGTGATTTCTTACTTAAACATGTCAATTAAGTTTCTTAAGTGAACAATTTAATTTTGAATATTAAAATTTATGTAAATTACCTAAAAAAAGGTTGGGAAACACTTTTTGGCGATGTATATAGCTTAGGGTCAATTTAAATGATAGCTTAATTACAAAAGCCTTGCGACCCTTCAGGCAGTGTTGGCATGTACAGGATATCGACTCTTTCTTTCCTGTAAAATTAAAAACAGAGCTTAGTCTATACTAATATTACAAAGAGGAAAGGTTTGATTTTTTGGTTGTTTGAAATGAATAGGCTCCGAAACTACTGGACCGATTTCAAACATTCTTTCACCGTTGGCAAGCTACACTATTCCCGAGTGACATAGGCTGTTTCATTTTCAAAAAAAAATAGGGATGCTTACTAAAACTTCAATAATCTAACCCAAGGTGTAAAAAAATAAACAAAAAACTTCCTTTAATCGCGTGCGCTGCGAAAACTATTAATGATAAAACAAAAAGATGTATAACAATTTTTCAGGACACATCACTATCTATGAAAAATGTCGCGACAGCATATCTCTATCTTTTATAGTTACGTCACAATAAGCGTCCGTTTATTAATTTTTTTTTATTAAAATACCACCGCTAGAAAAGGCTCTTTATTCGTACCTAGGTATTGATCCTTATCAAAATAATTACCAACGTTTCACATAAGCTACAATTTAATGGCATAACCACCAAAAAAGCATGGTGGATTAGTGTTCATCTGCCGTTTCTCTTGAATAGTTTACTACTATGTAATGTAACAAAAATCTTAGCCACAGCAACGCCTGGCCGAGTCTACTAGTACATAATAAATTTGATTTCTTGCAATCGTTACTTATCTCTGATTCGCAGTACTAGGTATTAATAATATAAAAATAGTATTATATAATATATTAATATACTTATATAATTACTAGCTGACCCGAGAAACATTGTTTTGCCATATTATTTCTAAGAAACATTGATTTAGTTTAATAAAAATAACTATCTGCTATAATAAAAAATACGAGGTTGATCGTAGAGGTCTACCCTCTTGAAGAAAATTTTTGAATGAATCATACAAAAATAAAAACAATTTTTTTTTTGTCTAAAAGTAAAAAATTAAATTTTGGGGTGGACACCCCTTATCACTTAGGGGTTTGAAAGATAGATAGTAGGGATTCTCAGACTTACTGAATATAAATATAAAAAATCATAGGAATCGGTCAAGCCGTTTCGGAGGAGTATGGGAACGAACATTGTGACACGAGAACTTTATATATTAGATTCATTTTCAGATTGGCAAGAAAGAAAGAAGGAACATTCGAATGTTTGCAGAGAAGTACGTTCTTGGTGAACCCTTCGCCGGCAACTTAGTTTTTGCTGAATTCGTTGAATGCAATTTAAAAAAAATACCACAATTTTATTGTAAAGTGATAGTAATATTTTGTTAACCAAAATTATTATTCATTAAATTTAAACAAAGATTTTTTTTTTCTCTTTACGTGATTGCCTATTATTTTCACCGTCGACCTAATTTTAACATCAGGCGCTTATTAAAGTATTTAATGAGCGTTCGTGGAACTTGTTATAAAATTGCGTGATTGATTCATCATCATCAAGATTGGTAAATAAAACTTGAAATTTCGATTTCAAGTAACTCCGACTCACAAAAATAAAATTAAAAAAAATCTAATTCATATAGGTAACACATTGTACACTTATGTGCGTAAATATGAAATATATATTAAATGCTTCTAATTATACATTTCCTGCCAGTTCTCAAATCAAGGGCGTAGAACGGACGAGAAGAACTGCGAATAAACTCTTCGCCACTCTTATTAATCGCCAAGTTTTTTGTTTTACAAAATGTGTGTAAGGAATTGCAAACATTACACCATGTTCCACATGACATCTTAGGTAATTAAATAATAAAATAAATTAAAAACATTGATTTGTCCTCCACCAATAAAAGTACAAAACAATAAAGTACCAACAGCCGCCCATGGGTACCTGCAACATCAAAAATGTTGAGGAAATAGTATGCTCATCTTTGGCGGTATAAATTATTAAATTAAACATGTGGCGCTACAACCTTTAGGGTCTTGGACGAAGATTTCAGTATTTTATTCGAGAGCATTTGTTTTTCTCATAAATACAAAAAGTCCATTGGTGCACAGCCTGCGTTCGAACCTACGACCTCAGGGATGAGAGTCGAACGCTGAAGCCACTAGCTATGATTATTTTAATTAGTATATGTCGTAATTTTATGTCCCAACACCAACTAGTATCTTTACACAAAAGTCACGTTTACTCTATAAATCACATAATTGATATTAATATAATCAATATAAGATAATGATAAGATGACTTATCTGTATAAAAATAATAAGTGATATAATAAGATGAGTATTTCATCTTGCGATCTGGGATTGTACGTGGTTTTGTGAAAATGTGGAGATGTATTGGCCTCCTGCTGTTTTTAGGACAATGTATTATAGTGAGTATATTTTTTTTTTAAATAATTAACTCAATATTATATTAACATTAATTTAATACACGAATAAGACTAAGTGTGACATTGAAATGTAGTTTGGGGATAAGTTCGTCGGCTGACACATAGATGGCGCTATTATTATTAAATTCATATGATTTTTAGTTTGCCCTAACCTTCAAAAGGCATGATGAATTTTACAACTGTCGTACTATTAGTTTGTGAGGAATAGTATTTCTAGTGAAACTTCTGCATGTTTTAAAAATGGATAACATTATCGCATGAAATACTTGTCTCTGTCTGCCATATTAGAAACTGTCTCATTGCCGATTGGCGTTTTATATGACTTTCTGCGGCTAATTTACAATAATTAAATTAAAGTGATACAATTCTTCCATACACAGTTTGTTATTCATTAGATTTTTGTTTTATTCCTTAAGGTTACCTCGGAATCCAGCGAAACCCCAGGCACACGTAATACCAGGGACACAGAATGCTGCCCTTGTCCAGAGGGTAGAAGTGCTGATCTTACTGCATCAGCTACCACCCATTTCAATGATGACTGCCCGTGCAAGGCACGAAGTGCCGATTCCGATCCTGCAGCATCAATTTTCACGCCAATCTTTCGTGCTGCTGGTCCACCCGCTAGGTAATTTATTTTCTTATATTGTGTGCAATGTTATTGTGCTCTGTTTTAATTTATATAAAAGCCAGTTTCCACCGTGGAAGGTACTCAACTCAACCTTTAAATTTGTTGCAGGCAAATACAACAAAATGATATGAAGCCTTTATTAGAACCGGAAGTAGGTCTTGCGTCCTCAGTACTTGAAACTTTGCGAGAAGCTACTGAAGAAGAATACCAAGAAGCACTGGCTAGAGATGCTGCCAGGAATGCTTTACAGGATGATATAAATAAACTAGTCAAAATCGTAGTGAATCATGAACCTCGAGAGGCTGATGCTGAGCCAGAAGCTTCAAACAGTCATACCGTAAGGTGTGTTGATCCTTTAGAAAACAATAACTTTTTGGGGCGTAGCTCTCTTGATTATCCTAGTATTGGACAAACGCCGATTTCGGACAGAATACGTGGCATTAATGAAGCTCAGAATATTTTTTATAGAACTTTGGATAAATCCAAAAACGCCAAATTTCCTGACAGCCTAATATATAAAAAGCCTCTTCAAAACAGGTTAAAAACACCTTTTCTAGAACAAGATTTATTAGTTTCGCCTGCTGATAATTTAAATACATTTGTACAAGCATCTGAAGACTTACCAGTTACGTCTTTATTACAAGGAAGAAATAACCTACTAAAGCAATTGGATTTAAGACATATATTTAATTTAGATAAAGTTACATCACTCGTTCCTAAAGAAATATTAAGTGGAAGGAATAATATATTACCAGAGAGGATAAACAATTTCCCAAGTCATTATCCTGAAAATGTTTTAGATGAAGCGTTGGCTGAGACTGAAAATATAAAAAAATGTATAATGGAAGATAAACCAAATAATAGTGAAGGGTCTGCAACAACAAAAATATTAAACATTCTTCCAACACAAAGCAATCATAAAATTCAAGCAAAAGCCTCAGAAAATTTAGATTTTTATGATGAAAACATGCTTAACAAAGGCGACGCTACAGTTGAAGAAAGTCGTGACAAGTTTAAGATGGTATTTTCTCCTGACAATAACGGCTACAAGATTTTGCCAAGCTCCTTAGATAGTAAAGATGAACACCCACAATTTAAAACTGAACAGTTAACCTCACAAGATAATGATATTCCATCAATTAAGGGAAGTATTTTAAAAACTTTAGAAGACTTTAGGGAAGCAAATGCTGTCATGCACGAAAACTTAAAATCAAGTCTTGATAATGTTTTACAACTTAATTCAGCTCGTGTGGTATCAGATGGCGACTATAATACACTAGCAGTTCCTGTTACACTCGAACCTCAAGTATGGAATAATAAACTTGAAGAATCACCTAGGCTAAAACATGCCGACCACGACGCTCTTTTAAAAAGCTCTGATGCGTTAGTTTTAAACAAGTTAGATAACCAAAACCAGCAAATAACAAATTTACATTCAAATCGAGAAACTGATCAAAGAAATGCTGAAAGTGAGACAAAATCAGATATAATGGAAAAGGACAGCGCAAATACTGATACATGTTTGGTGTATGGCAATAGCGAAGGCAAAAATGCAAACAGTGATCTGAGTGAAATGAAAATGGCTGCAAGTGAACCATTCAATACGCGATATGGATTTTCACGAATGTCACAAAACAATGTAGAAAATAGAGCCAAAAATTCTCTTAATTTACGGGCGCCAATAAGAAATGTAGAGGATATAAATTTAGATTTATTTGATTTTCAACCATTCTCTATGGATCAAGATAGTACAAGGAATACAATTAGTTCATTACCACGCTTAAACATGAAATCTTATAAAACTAGAGTACCGATCCCAAAGTCATTGGATTTAAAACCTGTCAAGTTACAAAAAGCCTTTAGAAAAGGTAATGACGTACTGGGAGCTGTTTTAACAATCCAACCACATTCTGAAGGAAAAAGCAACAACATGGTATCAGCTCAAAGTAGGAGTAGTGATAATATTTTTGATCATCCCTTAGGGATGCTACCAAGTTTTGATGATTTACGATCATTTTTAGAACATAGTGCAAAACATATACTGAAGTTCCCACACCTATCAAGAAATGTTGGAACAAATTTAGCTTCCCCGCTAATCAATATAGAAGATGCTGCAGATAACCTAAGAACATATACAGAAGATACATTAAAAAACGTTCAACAGTCTTTGGGTAATACATTGCATAGCGTTCGGGACAGAGATCGAACTATAATAGGAGACGCTCTTCTTAACCCAAATGGCTTAGTCGAATCGTTATCTAAAAATAATTTGGATGTGAACGAGAAGCTACATGACTTGCACATAAATCTAAATGATAGATTACAAAGAATATTTGACCAATCTAGATCATCATCCAATATACAGCCACTAAACACACGGTATAATTCATATCCCAAAAATATTTCGATGCAAAGGAAACAAACAAATACAGGCCATAAACTATCAAGTAACAGAATTTATGAAAATAGACCTCTTTCTAAGATACCTTCAAATAGAGACAATAACATTTTGCATCGAAAGCTAAATCCAAAAGCCTCAATACAGAGTCAAAGAATCGTCGACAATTCACGTGCAAATCTACCTGTTAGAAACGTAGACAAACCGATTACTTTACAGAATGCACGACTTAGCAAAACGGTTGAATCAAATCCCAATTTACAAAGAGTATTTCAACCCAAGGAATATAAAAGCGTTCCTTCTCTTACAGCAAAGAAAGCAGCGATACTAGAATCGCTTACTAACAAAAGGCCTTTATTACCAAATTTGGAAAAGAAATTATTTAACCCAACATTGTCTAGAAACACTCAACCCAACCGTAATTTCTTAGCACGAAATACACTAGCACGTGAGCAAAAAACTTCACCAAGTGAAACTGTATATAATACTGTACCTATAGAAGAGAGAGCCAGAGACAGTGTACAAGCGAAAAACATCGATGATAAAAAATTTAGAGCACCACTGCCTCCATCATTTTTGAAAAAATCATTTTTACCTAACATCGCTGACAACAACTTTTTGTCGAAGGTAAAAGACGCTGTGACCAGGGATACTCCAGTACATTCAAATATTGGAGACAGAAATGATGTAATACCATCCCCATCAGAAATGATTAAGTCTGTTGAACCCCCAAAAGAGAATATAGCATTTAACTGCAAAATGGTTTGTGATAAGGCTTAATTTTATATGTATAAAGACTGCTACTAATAATAAATATAAACTTGAATAAAAATCTTTTATTTTTGTTTCTCGAATCATAATATACCTACTCCACTAGCTACATATTATGATAATGCATGAAACAGCAGACACTAGTACTAGTTCGTATATATTTTTGTCGGATTTGACAACAATATGGCTACGCACTAAACCATTTCTAATGATTGTCTTAATTATTGCCTTGAAATTGCTAATCTCAAATAGTTTTGAATAAGTATGATATCATTCGAAAACTTGTAAAGTACAAAAATTTAAAATTGAACCTACAGGTTAACTCTGCAACAGTATTTTCCCATTTCGTGAACATATCTTGAGTTGTAATGAATAGCAAAATGCATAGTTAGATAGATAATATAAATGTATCCGATAAATCACGTTATTTCAATTATTTTGTTACGCACGTAAATAAAAATAGTCACGTGCACTAACGCAATGTACGCCCAGTTTTCATAATTTAAATTGTCGAAAGCATCGGCCTAGGTGATAAGGGTAAATTTTAAGAACCCAATTATTTTAGTTAATAGTTTTAGATACATAGTGTATCTATTATTATAGTCTCCACAAATATGGTAAATGTCATATTATGTGCAAAAATCAGCTTTACCCTTTTTAATAAACTCACGTACCAGGTATAGTAAAATGCTATTTTCCGAGACGAATATTATAGTACAACCTTAATCAGTCCAGGTATAAATAAATAGTAAATTCATAGTAATGCGAATAAAAGTATATGGATTGTAAAAGCAATTTATTTTCGATAAAAACTTTTACTTACTCCTAAATTTTGAACGTCAAAAAGAATTCATATTAAATGCTTCTAATTTTACATTTACTGCCAGTTACCAAATCAAGGTCGTAGAACGGAAGACAAGAACTGCCAATAAACTCTCCGCCAAGCTTCGCTAATCGCCAAGTTTTTTGTTTTACACAATGTTTGTAAGGAGCTGCAACCATTACACCATGTTCAACATGACATCTTAAGTAATTAATAATAATATATAATTATATAATATATATTATAAATTATATTTTTGTAATTTATTATATAATATATATAATAAATTACAAAAATATTTAATAAACTTGCATTTCCCCAAAGAATTACCAGTGTCGTTGCTTATTTTGGACTATCGTAACAATAATATCAAGAAATAGTTGTATTTAAAATTCCATTACTTAATTTTTTATTGCAGCTTGGTTTTGTGTAGTTCACTGGTGGCCCCTGTACCCCGTATGCATCTACTCTCATTGGACAATCCAGACAATGAGAATAATGAAAAAAATACTATACTATATCTCCTGCCTAAGACGGGTTCGGAGCAAGAAGTTGTGCGGCGCCACTAAGACCACCTTCAGACATGAAGAGCGCGACTGAAGAATATCTCCTGTGTACATAGGCAGTCTCAATACTCAAAAGACATAAGCCGCCATGACCGAGTCAGACTGGTTTTTCGTCATATAGTGGCCTATATGACGAAAAACCAGTACAATATTTTATTATCACTTTCGGAAAGTTGGTAATAAAGGTACCGAATAATTTTTCCCGTTTCAGTATTAAATCGAATGCCTTAAGAGTAGGAATGTAAATATGGAACGCTACGTACTTTTAATAGTTCTTTTAAGTGTGAACTGTTTTGGAGGTAAGTTTAATAAATATTATATTAATATGACTAATATTTATTTATTAAAGTTCACCATATAATATAATGCTATGTAATAAATACAAAAAAAAAAAACAATAAAAGCAATAACTAACCTTAAATATATATTAACATTTTTTAATATTGCACTTAAATTTATCTTTAAGTAGTGAAAAGTGTTGCTAGCGAGATATTTTGACTTATTATGAACATTATGTTATACTTCACTTTACTTGTTACATTATTAATTTGTTTATAACAAGTAGGTTAACGAAACACGTTAACTAGTCACGAAAGTTGTCTGTGAATTAATAAATACAGAATATACTCGTGTAAACAATAAAAAACAGAACTATAATTCTGTTTTTTTAATTCACGATAATAATTCGTGATAGGAGAGGATTTTGTTTAAAGGGTAACTGACTAGGCAAATTGAATTGAGCTAATAATTTCACCTATTTCTTTACCTTTCATTATTACTTATAGACAAACCGTGTTCCGTACGCAAAATAATAGGGCAGTCAGTGGTATGTGTGTGTAACTCCACGTATTGCGATGAAGTGCGACGCAGGCTACCAGATGCTGGTCGATTCGTGATTTATGAAAGTAATGAGGTAAAATTTGAATATTTGCTGTTTTAGTTTATTCTTATTATTTCGTTTTTAAGTTTTTTATTATCTGTTTATGACAATCAATAAATGTTGGCCGCTTTAAAATCAATTTCATCAAAAAACCAGATAGCCGCAGAATCTCACTTGCGATACACTCTATGTATATATATACATAATATATTATAACACTGATGTCCGAATAATTATATTTCATGTCCTTTACTTAGTTATTACATAATAGTGCCAGTAAAAATATTATCTCTTGTATAAGTGTTTTATACTATACTAGTGGACCCCACAGACGTTGTCCTGCATGATATTTAAAGCGATTAGGATATTAAGCAAAGTATGAAATTACCGACTGCAGTGCCATCTGCCGGGCTGATTTGTGAATCTAAACCATTCCCAGATCCCCTTGAACACACACAAAAAATTTCATCAAAATCGGTCCAGTCGTTTGAGAGAAGTTCAGTGACATACACACTCACAGAAGAATTATATATATAAAGATATACTATTCATTAAATTATATTTTAACATTTTGCATATTTTTAAGGCCGGAGCACGATTCGAAAAATACGATGGAAATGTGCTGAACTACGACGCAAGTAAGCATTTCATTAAAAATAATATTTTCATAATTTATTATGAAATTCTATTTATACACTGTTTTTGTTAGATTTTATTTTTTTGATTAATAGAAAATTATCAATAAATATACCACGTCCTTTCCTCAAGTTTTATACGTGAATAAAATAATTACTTTGAGTGCTCGATCGCCATATACGAATTCTCATCGAACGATACAAGTTCGTGAATTTGTCCTTTGTCAGACTTTAGGGGGAGTCTCTGTCTCTAAGGGATCTAGAAAAGAGAACAAGGTCGGAGTTTGAGGGTATTGTGATTGTGTGTGTGATTCTTACCTTTGACATTTTCTTTATTATGATTGAGGTGATTGTATACTCTTTAATTTTAAAATACTTATTATAATTAAGAATATGGGAAAGATATTACCAAAATTGTTATTATTTATATCAATAAAACTTAGTTATCAATGAGAACACTTATTTGACGTATCCTTGAACATTACCGTTTAGATACCCCACAGTCAAACTGCACCTAGAAACAAAAACATATTCAGTAAGAAATTGTTTAAGGTAGTACCAAAGGCATGGACTAACAAATCCGAACACATCTCTCAGACGTTTTTATTCCCGAATCCAAAACGAAGGATTGTGTTTGGCCAATGCTTCCTTGCATTTACCTTCCTTTATAATACTATTTCCCAATCTAGGGATTCTCACATAACAAACTCGCAAATCTCATAAATATTACGATAGCCAAATTAGACTTCGAGTCTACAGAGGCCTTACTACGTAACTTGGCATGACTGTGAGGTTCCAAAAACAAACACAGCGCATGATAATAACTCTTAGCTACACTCTCAAATACATGTGCATACACACCCACTCACACTCACACATTCACTCATACTGAATGTCTTTTAAAACGGTTTTAAACATGTACCATGTGCCACGGAATACTTGTCATCCAGTTTCCCACGACACAGGGACTCCCTAGTGTGGGGACTAGCGATATATGAATTTTGTCACAACCCTTTTGTCATAAATATTATTATTATATTTCAGCGATAAAATTGGGTGTGATGCTAGAGCTGGATCCCTCTACACAATACCAACAGATGATAGGTTTTGGTGGGGCCATCACTGATTCAAGCGGCATCAATTGGAAGAGCCTATCAGATGAAGCTCAACAGCAATTAATAAAGTAAGTTGACTTACTTATCTAAGTAAAACTTGCTCAATTTTATTTTTTGTAATTGTCTTTCATTGATGTTCATAAGTGTGTTGCGTTACCTGTGTGAATATATAACATCCGGTCCAAATTGTTGGCTGTATTTTTTTGTATCCTGCCTTTTTACTTTTACTAGTTATTGTAAATCTTAGTTTTAGTCAAAATTCATTTTTGTCCATAAATCGGGGCGGGTTTACATAATAGGAGTTGCACATGAGTTAGCAGCTCCTGTTAATGTTCTTAGGGTCGATTCGACCATACTTCAATTTATACACGAGTAACTATACCAGGAATAATCTATTCCATGATTTTAATCTCGAGTAAATATGGATTTACTCGAGATTAAAATCACAATAAAACGACTATGGAGTCGTTTCTCCACGTAATCTACTATATAAAATTAAGTCGGGTTTTCCTTCCTGACGCTATAACTCCAGAACGCACGAACCGATTTCCACGGTTTTGCATTCGTTGGGTTGGTCTCGGGCTCCGTGAGGTTTATAGCAAAGAAAATTCAGGAAAAATTTCAACAGAAAAGCGGGATCACCAAACGAAATGTTACATAAAACGAAGCCCAGATGGCTTCGCTTCGTTCGTAGCGAAACGGAGTTCGCCGGGTTTGCTAGTCGATAGTATAATTGCGCTAGGAATAACAATACGCGAATGGCAAAGAGAATGGTGAACGAAAATAAAACTCGGCAAATAAATATTATTCTACAACGGGACAGTGAAAGAGCATACATCATGTCAACTCGATTTTGCCGTATTATAGTGTGAAAAAGTAGCTTTTAACAGGTGTCAAACGACAACAAAAAGTTAATATTTGTTGTTTGTTTGAGGCTTTCGTCTAAAAAGGAACTTCTGTTGAGCCTAGTTGAATTTCATTCTAATATTA